TGAGTTAAACATTTTTGCTTCAGTAATGTATAACAAAATATTGACTGTTAAAGAGTTATCGAAAAAAGACTTTTAGCCCCTTTTGGCCCCTAATTTGAGTGCCCAGCCCCTTTTTCTTGATTTCATCTTAAAGCTCTTAGGATTTTGAACACTTTTTGTTCAACAACTATTCAGAGATTTATTTTCGTTTTCGAGTTATTTGCAAAAGAAATATTTAGGGGCCAACCCTTCAACTCCCTAATGGGGACGTTTAGCGAAAAATGAAAGTTTGCATTTTGTTCAGAACATGATTTTGAACATCTTTTGTTCAATATTACTTGTCAAAATATTTCTCACTTTCGAGATATAAAGCATAAAAAATTTAGCATTCTGGCCCCTTTTGGCCCCTAATCATGTAATATACGATATTAAAATCATAATATACAGTTGAAGATTGTTAAGATAAACATTTTTGCTTCAGTAATGTATAACAAAATATTGACTGTTAAAGAGTTATCGAAAAAAGACTTTTAGCCCCTTTTGGCCCCTAATTTGAGTGCCCAGCCCCTTTTTCTTGATTTCATCTTGAAGCTCTTAGGATTTTGAACACTTTTTGTTCAACAACTATTCAGAGATTTATTTTCGTTTTCGAGTTATTTGCAAAAGAAATATTTAGGGGCCAACCCTTCAACTCCCTAATGGGGACGTTTAGCGAAAAATGAAAGGTTGCATACTGTTCAGAACATAATTTTGAACATCTTTTGTTCAACATTACTTGTCAAAATATTTCTCACTTTCGAGATATAAAGCATCAAAAATTTAGCATTCTGGCCCCTTTTGGCCCCTAATCATGTGATATACGATATTAAAATTATAATATACAGTTGTAGATTGTTGAGATAAACATTTTTGCTTCAATAATGTATAACAAAATATTGACTGTTAAAGAGTTATCGAAAAAAGACTTTTAGCCCCTTTTGGCCCCTAAGTTAAGTGCCCAGCCCTTTTTCTTGATTTCATCTTAAAGCTCTTAGGATTTTGAACACTTTTTGTTCAACAACTATTCAGAGATTTATTTTCGTTTTCGAGTTATTTGCAAAAGAAATATTTAGGGGCCAACCCTTCAACTCCCTAATGGGGACGTTTAGCGAAAAATGAAAGGTTGCATACTGTTCAGAACATGATTTTGAACATCTTTTGTTCAACATTACTTGTCAAAATATTTCTCACTTTCGAGATATAAAGCATCAAAAATTTAGCATTCTGGCCCCTTTTGGCCCCTAATCATGTGATATACGATATTAAAATTATAATATACAGTTGTATATTGTTGAGATAAACATTTTTGCTTCAATAATGTATAACAAAATATTGACTGTTAAAGAGTTATCGAAAAAAGACTTTTAGCCCCTTTTGGCCCCTAATGTGATGAGTCAGCACTTTTTTTTGATATCGTATTAAAGATCTTTACATTCTGCACAAATTTTGTTCACTATGTCTTAACAAAATAATTATACTTTAAAAGATATAATACAAAATGTCTCGAAAATTCACTCATGATTCGTGTCCTAGATTTTGACCCCTACCGAGCTTCCATATTAGACCTTTCTGAAAAATTTTAAATCCAATGTGCAAATCAGCAATGTGTCGTCTATCATCGCTGAAAATTTCAGCTCTCTAGCTAATGTCGTTTTTGAGATTACTCATGGACAAGGAGACCCTCTAAAAATCACTGAAAGGGCGATAACTTCCAACCGGAAGTGATTTTTTCAAAATTGAGCCGGGGGTACAAACTTCAGATAGAAACACATAATCCTTGAAAATTTGAACAAAATCGATCGAGCCGTATTCGAGAAATCTTCTGCACAAAAATTGTAAAGAAAAAAAAAAGAATAATAAAAGTGAAGAAGAAACAATAGAATAATAGAAGGGTCTTCCGTTGGAGACGGAAGACCCTAATAAGAAACAGAGTAAAAACAATATGTTCCCCAACTTCGTTTGGGGAACATAATTAGTCTTTGATGTTCATTAGGATGAATGGCAAATCAGTCCAATGAATACAGTTCTCACATTTCCATATTGAGTGATAGTAGTGGATTTGAGAGTATGAAAAAGCACATCCTAAGACGTTGGACTGTAACAGCAAATCATTTTACAATTGTTTTATTTCTTGGCAATATTTACTTATGATTTCATTTCAATAAGAAAACCCAATCAACTTTTCATACAAACACTTTCGCTGATATAAATACAGTAAATCACCTTTTATCAGAACTTTATTTTCCATTAAATACACAAGACCATTGAATGGCAAAAATTTCATTTTCACATACTAGTATATTTTTAATATTTTATAGTATATACATCAATAATCAACATTTGTGAAAAATTTGTCTCTTACACCTACAAATCTTTATATTTTTGAAAACAAGGTGTCACAAAAATGAGTACCAGTTAGCATATTTATATCACGTTATAGTATTTTGAATCCAGTTTTAAGGGGCAATAAAGATTTTTGGTCGTTGTACATCCTTCTGTTAAAGAAGCCCTGAAGTCTTAGCCTTGAAACTAAAAAATCTGAAAATGCTAAGTAGAGAAGACGGCGGTCTGCTCGCATAGTATGTTGAAATAGTCTGGGAGTGACCTTAAACAGAACAGCTAGAATCAGTCAGGCTTATTTAGTAACTTCACTGACAAATATTCTGGGTATTGGATACTTTAATGCATGTTTTTTAACTTTAAAGTAATTGTTATTTTCAGAAAGAAAAGATAAAAAAAAAAGTTATTTTCATGTAAATATTAAGATAAATTTAGAAGAAATCAGGACATATTCTAGATAAAAGAATTTCATGTATTTAGACTATCCTGTCAGTTGAAAGATCTGAAAGTGCAAGCATTAAATTTAAATTTAAAAAATGCACAGCACGAAGATCCCTTGTTATCAGAAATTCCTTGAAATAATTGGAAAACTTATCTTAAAATTTTAGACATGCATGTATAATGGATTACAGAGAGAGAGAGTTTTGTTGAAATGATTATCTAGTTGGATGATAACCTATATTGTGTGATGAATCCATTGTCTGACTCCAAAGGGACATGAAGTTGGAGGTTTTTTTTCTGCTCGGGTTTTTTTTATAGGGGGGATTGATGAGGGTGCTGACTGAAAGTTGGAGAAGATTTAATTAGCTTTTGAGGGCCTCTTTGTAAGAAAGTGTCTGAATGTGCTCCTATAATCTTCATTGCTTTGTGTTCTTTTTAAGAATTCATTAGAGTACTGCAGTAAATTTGTAATTTTTTGGTTGATCCTTATCCAACTAAAAAATCTGTCTCTCATATTCTTGTTATAATTTACTGGATGGTTGCTTATTATTGGTTCCATATTGTTAAAAGTTCATGCTCTCAAACCTCAGATGATAGACACAGAAATCCCATAATAAAAATTTCACCGTTTTGATGCATGCATCCTTCATGTATACATCCAAAAATATATGTTTTTCAAAATAAAAAAAAATGAAGACAGACACCATCATTTTAGAAAAATAGGTAGAAGGAATAATCAGTTATATTGATAAGACTGCATAAAACAATGTAATCTATTTTAGAATTTCGGTTGAGAGATTTAACCTGCAGAATTGTGAGGAAACTTTTTCCTCCGCATCATCAGATGTAAGGTTGAGACAGACAGGTTGAATAGTTTATACACATCAATCAGTGGAAATAAAAAAATATAAAGAAGATCGGGGGATTGTAAAGGAGTTGCGGGGATGTCAGCCATGTCTCATAAAGCATGACGCCTGATGGATGGAACAACAGAAGGGGTAACAATATTGGGAAAAGTGAAAGAAAGGAACAGAGATAGGAAAAACTCAGGTTTCTTAACCAGAATCTGATATTTTATAACGGCCACAACCAAAGATTAACTCCATCATTTTCCTCTTTACATTATGACAACGATTGGAAATCTACAATGTCAGTTAAGGTTTTAACTACGCTACAAACTAAAATGACAATTTTAACTGTGTTTTAAATTTCACATCAAGTAAAGGGCCAGATTCAGTCCTCACTATACCTTGTCCTTTCTCTAAGTCTTCTTCATTTATAGGAATTTTTCCCTTTCATTTGATCTATTACTATATGACTTATATTGCCTATTTTGCTTATTTATAGGTGTCTCTAATTATTTGGAATGTACTATAGTATAATAGTAATTGGTTTTAATGAAAGGCAACACACACTGAGTGTGCCAATTCTTCATGATTTTTGAACCCCTGGAGAATGTAGATTCTGAATACCTTGACCTTTCACTACACTGATATATCTGTAGATTTGATAGTATCAGATGTAAACTTAATATAAATCTTGAAGACATTATCAAGATAGTAAAAAGAGGAATTTGTTTATAGGAGAATGCTACATATATAATAGTTAATCTGAGAAAGAATACAGTGTAAGAATTTCATGGCCATCTGACAGAAATGACACTCAGAATTATTGCACAATTAGTTACAGAAACAGTGGAGAAAAGTCAGCTGATAAACAGCTGATTCCAATGGCAGTAATTGTATGGCAGTTGCCAATGATGTAGTGGCCTTATTCCAAATCACTGACAACACAAACAGACAGACAATACAAGTGAAAACACGATAGACAGGAGTTGATTGCACTTACTATTACAGTGACTTGGAAAGCTGATGGAAAAATATTGACATGCACAATATGCTTCAAAGAATGTATATTGGTGCTCCAAATTATACAAACAATATAAACTGTCCAAAAACAATCTGAACCTTAAAATGAACAGGTCAGTGGGACATATAACTGTCTTGCAATAGAGGCAGAATAATTTGCACACATGAACCAGATGTTAAATTTGGTTAATTTTTGTGTTCTTAACAAAGTAGAAGATAACAGAAATGTTTTACTGCCTTGTTTTATGATTTCTTACAAATAGCAGAACTAGGAGCCAAAAGTAAAAATTCAGCAAAGCCAATTACAGAAATGATGAATCAAGTCCGACTTACTGTGTATCATTAGATTCTTTTATGTTCCGGGGTTGTGAGGCTTGTGCCAGACTAACTGCCCACTGGTAGGAGGATCAGAGGGGGACATCAAAAGGAGGGGTTTCAGCAAGTGCAGGTACCACTGTCACCACCTGAAGAGCCACCAAAGAGGATACAAAAATCACTCACAATATTGCTGAAATGCACAGTAGGTTTGTCAATAAGTCTCTGGTCAATTCCTGCAGTTCCAGGCTCTGGTCAGTAAGTGCAGTGGGCTCTGGTCCAAGTAAGTACCTGCAGAAAGGTTATATCTGTCAGGGCTATCAGTAGTGGTCAGTCCATGTTGTAAGTGTACATACCCAGGCAGAGATCATATTTATTGTCTTCTATTTTAAAGTTACCACATCAATAGCAAGTGAAGAGGAATCAGCTCCAGGAACAGCCCAGCAAAGCTTTTGGTCTCTTGTAACCAGTTAATTGCAATTTTAGAACTTTTTCAATGTAGCACACCTGAAGGTCACTGAAATGTCTAAAAACATCTCTCTTTGTGCACTCAAGAGTTTGAGTGTTTCTTAATAAGCTATCAAGTGTTTCACAACTTTTTAACTAGAAAAGATAACTGCTGTGTTGATAGAATTCGGCTGTAATTTTTCTGTTTTGGTTTACGCATGGAGTTAGGTAATGATGAATGTTTGCACCTGAATCAGTTATAAACATTTAGGATGAACTTGGAAGTAATTCAAAATGGGGGAGCAGAGAGGGGGGATACAGGAATGGAATGGTGCCCAGAATCTTTCAGAGGCTGGTCCCTGATCTGAGCAATTTGTTGTCACGGATTGACAATTCTTGGTACATTGTAGATACTTATCTCCCACTCATGCTGTTAGTAAAATTTGGCATACATCATCACTCAAACTTATGGGGGGATTGTAGTCTCCAAGATTTGTGGTAAAAGCCTTTGATCACATGTCTTGTTTGTTTCCTTGAAGGTAAAAAGGATTGACTGCCAATTTGTGGCTCATGTAAGAATTAACGAACATTAGAAGGGAATGTCATTCTTATTTACTTTTAAGTGGGGTGGGCTAATCTAGATGGGAAAACTGATCACTTCAAATACATATTTCAAGCATTAACTTAAAGGTATCGCTTTCTTTTCAAGTAGAGAAAATTTGAAACATATTAAATGATTAAAGGTTTCTTTTGAGTGAGTTCAATATAAGTTTGATGGTTAAATTGATTTTAATGAGAGCTAGATCCAATGCAAAGATTTATATACCATACTTGAATTTATAATCTGATATATGCTTAGTGAATTTGCAATTTCAGAATATTGGATATCAAAAATTCAAAACTCATTTATAAATGTCAATTTAGAAAGATTTGATGGAAGGGAAACAAAAGAACATTCAGAAGTAACTTACTCTAACTCGCTGTAGACAGGTGTGTGTGGAAGGAGCTTTTAAAAAAGAAGATGGAGCCATTTTCCTTAATTTTTTTTTGTAAAGCTTAAAGAATTGACTCGATTAAAATTTTTAATGAGTTTCATAGGAAAATCATCTATGAATAACATGTGTCTTGGATTTTATCTAAGTAAAGAATCATTTCTGGAGAGAAAGAAAAATAACAATCCAAATACTCAGTTGATTTTTGGCAGTCCTGCAAAAAAAGACAAGTGTCAAATCTGCACTTGATGAGAAGTTAATTAATAAACAATCAGTGGTAACCTTGTAAACTTACGAGGTGGAGAAGAAAACAGAAATGTAAATATTATCCACATTGTCATTCATATTGTATTAAGGTCAGAGTTGGTTTATTTTCAGAATTCCATTTTTCACCCCAGTTGTAACGCTGGTAGTAAAAATAGTAGAGGCTAATCTGCGTACCTGGCGCGGTGCCAGGTGTTTTGTTTATCTCTGGTGCATAACAACATCAGCAGCAGTGCATCTCGTGGCGTAGTGTAAAAGTTGGCATAGAAGGCCGAGTGTGGAATGTGGCGTGATTTTATCAGCCAGAATGATGCCGACACTAAAACATCATTACCCTGATGTGTGTTGTCATTTTGTACATATGTAACTGTCCCAATTGCATATCTGTATGTGAGAAAACTGACTATTCTGGAATTCTAAGCATCGCCAGCATGTATATACTGGCGCCAGAACTATGAAAGGTTTACTTTTGAGTTTTATACAACTTGGTCAAAGTTTCATGAAAGCTTAAGTGCACGATCTGTGCTACATTGGTAACCATATCTTAATATCTCAAATTGCTGAGAAGTCCAAGAGATACAAAGGTTAAACTTAAAAAAAAAATTGAATCTTCTAAATCTGTTCAGCATACATATCCATGGTCTTCAAGACTTTAATGCATTAGATATTGATGATTATACGTTTGTGGTGGTTTGTTAAAAGGTGTCAAAAATCTCTAAAAAGAACTACCGGTATATTTTACAAGAAAACTAAAAGTTCACAGTGAAGTCATTTTGTTCATATGCATCTATAACATTTCTGTCTGACCAGGGGTGTATTTCTTCACGAGATTCAGAAACAGCTTCATTCTTCTTCCTAAAAACAGACCTCCTTGTTAGTTATACCGTGTATTTCATTGTTAGCTGTATATTTCATTGTAGCTTCAAACAGCCAACATTGAATTATTGTTTAACTACTTACTAAGAATAAAGCTTACTTATAGATTTTCCATCTTACCTGCAAATAAGAATAGCAGCGACAATGAATATGATGAAGAAGAGACCACAAACAGAGGCAATCACAGCAATTAATATAACCTCACCTACAAAATAAAAAACAACAACCATGGGCCACAAAATTCACCTGAGTTACTATAGCTCCGCTGTTCTTCATTAGCGGATTTTTCACCCTGCATATACATTGCTTTATTAAACTTAAATTGCATATTAAGGCCCCACCCTACTCTAATGTAAAACGGTCATATATTTTAGGTCACCTACTAACTCAGGTGATTTTATTTTATTTGAGGCGTTGGGTGTCGTGTGTTAAAAATTTGAACATTTTGACTCTTCTCTGAAAGAATTTTTGAACCAATTTCAACCAAATTTGGTATGCAGCATCTATGGGTGAAGGGGAACAAAAACTTGAATTCACTCTTTGTATGGAAGCTTTCACCCTTTTGCACTAGTTTCATCTTTTTCAGCTAAGTGGTTAACTATATTGGAAAAGAAATTTTTGAAGACCTCACATAATTTTCACTATTTCTAAAATTATTCTTCCTTTAAAAATCATGGCCCTTCTTTACTCCTGGACATCAATAAGGCAAACTGTTGCATGAATGTAAGAGCAACTGCTCTACCAAAATTGTGAAATTCATGGCCCCAGGGTCAAGGGTTCTAGTGCTAGGGCGGAGCTATATAATTATATAGGTCCAGAAAATACATTATTTCTTTGAAAATCTCACTTCTCTGCTCCTGGGTATTAAATAAACTAACTGAGCTCTCCACCTGCAAGTGGTGGTGTCTCCACATGAGTGAAAAATTCTTGAGAGGGATGTTAAACAGCATACAATCAATCAATCAATCCAAAGGAGTTGGCTCAGTGGTTTTGGAGAAAAAAGATGTTATGAAAGTTTGATGTCGTTTGAATAGCAATGACAGACATTGGACAAATTTCAATCAAAAAAGTTCATTTAAAATGAGCCATTGACTGAGGTGAATTACAAAAGTCAAAGGGTATCATCGTCTAAGGATATCAGCTAAATTGAGTACTTACAGGCAAAACAAATTTTAGATAGGAAGACAGTCAAAGTTCTTCTTGAAAAAAAAAAATTAGGGTAACTTAATTGAAATGAGAAGCAAGCAGAAATAGGCATACAAAGCTTTAGGCTGGTGCCAAACAATATCAAAAATTTATTAGCTCACCTGAGCCGAAGGCTCAAGTGAGCTTTTCTGATCACATTTTGTCCAAAATTATCCGTCCATAAACTTTTCACATTTGACTTCTTCTCAACAACCACAGGGCGAATTTTAACCAAACTTGGTACAAAGCATCCTTAGGTGAATGAGAGTTTAAATTTTTAAAATGAAGGGCCAAGTCCCCTTACATGGGGAGATAATCAAGAAAATATAAAAAATTCATTAAAAAATCTTCTTCTAAAGAACCACTGGGAGGAAATCTTATTCATCCTTCTGGGTATTAAATTGTAAAAATCATGACCCCCGGGGGAAGGGCGGGGCCACAATAGGGAGTATAAGTTTTACATAGAAATGTATAGAACAAATCTTTAAAAATCTTCTTCTCAAGATCCACTGGGCCAGGAAAGCTGAAACTTATGTGGAAGCATCCTTGGGTAGAGTAGATATTAAATTGTTAAAATCATGACCCCCTGGGGTAGGGCGGGGCCACAATAGGAAATCCAAGTTTTACATTGAAATATATAGAACAAATATTTAAAAATCTTCTTCTCAAGAACCACTGGGCCAGGAAAGCTGAAACTTATGTGGAAGCGTCCTTGGGTAGAGTAGATATTAAATTGTTAAAATCATGACCCCCGGGGGAAGGGCAGGGCCACAATAGGAAATATAAGTTTTACATAGAAATATATAGAACAAATCTTTAAAAATCTTCTTCTCAAGAACCACTGGGCCAGGACAGCTGAAACTTATGTGGAAGCATCCTTGTGAAGAGTAGATATTAAATTGTTAAAATATATTCCCCCTTCTGAAGGGGGGGCCCAATAGGGAATATAAGTTATATATATATATTTAGGAAAAATCTTTTAAGAATCTTCTCTTCAAAAACCACTGGGCCAGGAAAGCTGAAATTTATGTGGAAGCATCCTTGGGTAGTGTAGATTCTAAAGTATTAAAATCATGAAAAGGGAAGGGGGCTCTATAGGTATATCAAGAGGGGAAATCTGGTAAAAATTTGCAAATTTTCAGGTGAGCAATGTGGCCCATGGGCCTCTTGTTTTTGGTATACCAGTAAGTTTAATAAGAAAACCTAAAGTGACTATGCCAGGGTAGCATCCTAATAACTAAACATCTAAAAATCTTTTGCACTTATTAATATTGTTGGTGGAAAAACTCCTGCAGTGATTTCTTTCAGACCGAATAACATTATCAGTGGTAATATTTATGTTGTTAATTAAATATTTTAAAAGAAAAACAATAGCAGCTCTGCATAGTAACTGCATACTTTAAATTCAATATCAGGCATGCAAATTTCTTCATTCCTAATGATCTGTGTGGCTAATATGGACCAAATTAATGTGTAACTCTTGATTGGCTGAGCTGGTCATTAGTAATTACCTGATTGGCTAATTCTCTGTGAACTTTTTCCTGTAATTGACACAGAAGATAAAGTTACTGTAGCTGTTTGTAGCACGGAGTTGACTGTTGACAAAGAGAGATAACTCCTCTCGGTTATCACAGACACTGTCAACACTGTGTCAAAGGTTGACAAAGAGATGTAACTCTTTTCAGATGTCAGAGACTTGGAGGAAGTGTTTATATTAAAATTTAAGGTGCTGTTAGGTAGAAGAGTCACATTTATGTCATCATAAGAAGACAATAGTCCAAGAGATGAAGTGCTGAATATGCTTGAGGGGAGGTAACTCTCTGGAGTTGACATGTCAATAGGTGAACTGCTGACGGCTGATGGTATTATAGGAGAGCCACATTTGATAGCCATACCTGTAATGTGAAAATAATTTTGATAAAAGCAAAAGTGTTAAATCTCCCTTCATTGTATTTTGACTCATCAATAAGTCTTTAATGGGAGTTTCTACATGAAAATTTCTGAGGAAGCTCTTAAAGACCCACCACTGCCCGTGAGTTTGAGCCACAGTCTGAATTCCTGCTGGGGGTACCTGTTGTCCAGTAAGACCTGGAGATAAGAGATGTTGGAGAACTCGAGTCTGTTGATGATGCTGAGTTTGGTGATGTGTTTGGTGCTGGTGTCAGATGTGAGTATATAGACCACTGGACTCAGCGATGCCTTGGTCTGCTCTAGAGTCAGGACATCGATGTTCTGACCATTGATGTCACAGGAACATCTCTCAGTGGGTATTTTGGGGGCTGGGTATTGGGGTGAGGTGAGGTAGAAGGTGGATCGGTACTGCTCCAGAAAATCAGTACACATGTCAAAACTCTGTGATTCTGCAGGGAGCCAGTAGGAAAATAAAAGAAGACAGTGACTTAGAAATGACATAATCAAGTGAATATAGAAAAAACATTTTTTTTTTAGAGCATGCATTAAATAATAAATACACTGTATAAAAAAAATCTAATTTGTTTCTATACTTTGTGGCAGTGAAGACAATTATAATAAATGCATATGATTATATTACATGTATTTTTGCAATTTTTTTTGAATGGGGGGAGAACATACATACTGGGTTTGAAGTAGAACATGAATTAAATTCTCATAGTACCCTTTGCAAAGAAACATTAAGAGCATCACCTACTTGCCACACACTGGTATCTGACTTTAACTGAGGTTGCATTTTCCTTGCACACTGACATATACTGATCTCTTGGTACAGTGAAGGTACAGGTAGGTCTGCCATTACAGTACTTAACACTTGGTGGACTGAGGAATTCAGTGTATGTACAGAGGTCACCTGACATGAGACAGTTCTGTGATTGGTCATATCCATAAATCTCATATTCCACCCGAATCAGCCAGTCAGGACTAGAACAATCCAGACTTATCTCTTGTCCAGCACACTGTGACACTTCTCGGCATCTTGATACTTAATAGACACAAAAATACCAAAGTCTACAAAACTCTATATTTAATACAAGTTGTTTTCTAGAAAAATACTTCAATGAGCATCATTATCAGCTCACAGATTAATATAAAGAATATATTTAAAATAGATTTAAATAAGAGACATTTTAGTCATGATCTTACCTGTCTGAAGTAGAACAGTCCATCCAATTATCACACAGGTAATAGAAAAGGCTGATGTTTTCATTTTGTTGGTCCATATCACTATTTTACATTATCCTTGTAAAAAAACATTTCCTTATTCAAAAATCTAAGATTTCCGTTGACATGGCCACCAAATATTGTCAAATTTCTCTGATTTATATATCCATTTTATTTAGTAATCAAGAAATATTTCAATGATTCAACATACAGTCTATCATGATTTTTTTTTTCTTCACTTTGATGTACTTTTTTCAAGTCTCTTTATTTGCATGTCAAGATGTTACCCTCTTTCACTCTGTACCTTTGAGGCCTGAGTCAACACGATCAATTATCCCACATAATGTCCTCATCACCGTCTTTATTTATCGTCTTATACCTAGTGTTGTCCTACATCTCAATATCCAACAAAAAACTGTCACCAATTGATTTTAATGTATTAAGTTGGGTGTCCCAATAGTCCAGTTACTCTTGGTTTAGAATTATAAATTTCATTTTTCCCCTTGCTGGTTTCTATAGATAGGCATGTCGGGGAAGACAGGAATTTGTCCTGTTGTTTTGTTCAGGTTGCCTTCTTGGTCTTCTTAATGTCCTTTTTATGTCCTGAATCCTGAATCAATCTAACTCTGTATCAGTAGAAGTTGGCATTCTCTAAATCTTTCAACTTTTGCACTCTGGACTTTTATGACATAGTTGGCTATTTTAAATCTTTTAAAAGTTTAGGATTTACTGTTCATAATATGTCTCTGTAGACTGACAGAACTAAGAAATGGAAGATAATAAATCCACTCTTAATTGACAATTTCACAAATCTCTAGATTTTATTATGTTTCTCAATATATGTGATGTTTTATTAATTATATGAATTCAGTTGATAAACATTGGTCCCTCCAAACATGCTGTTGTAATAATTTCAAAACCTCATTTCTACTTCAGAAATTCAGAAAGACTAGTTTTATATGGACAGAGCAAGAAAATACAAAGTTTGTATTTTCTTGTTTAGTAAATGTTTCAAATATTTTGAATATATAATCCTTGAAGAACACTTGCCCTTGGTATCAAATGTACAAAAAATATTTCCAAAGAACAATCTCATGAACTAGATGTTTTTAGCTCACCTGAGCCGAAGGCTCAAGTGAGCTTTTCTGATCACATTTTGTCCGGCGTCCGATATTATCTGTCCGTCTGTCTGTTTAAACTTTTCACATTTTCGACTTCTTCTCAAGAACTGCTGGGCCAATTTCAACCAAACTTGCCACAAAGTATCCTTATGTAAAGGGGATTCAAGTTTGTTCAAATGAAGGGCCACGCCCTAATTCAAGGGGAGATAATTGGGAATTAATGAAAATTTGGTAGCATGTTTTAAAAATCTTCTTCTCAAGAACCACTGTGCCAGGAAAGATGAAACTTATGGGGAAACATCCTCAGGTAGTGTAGATTCAAGTTTGTTCAAATCATGACCCCCGGGGGTAGGGCGGGGCCAAAATTACGAGTCAAAGTTTTACATAGAAATATATAGGAAAATTCTTTAAAAATCTTCTTCTCAAGAATGACAAAGCCATAATTCATCATATTTATATGGAAGCATGCTCAGTTAGTGTAGATTCAAGTTTGTTCAAATCATGACCCCCGGGGGTAGGGCGGGGCCAAAATGGCCGACCAAAGTTTTACATAGAAATATATAGGAAAATTCTTAAAACATCTTCTTCTCAAGAATGACAAAGCCATAATTCATCATATTTATATGGAAACATGTTCAGGTAGTGTAGATTCAAGTTTGTTCAAATCAAGACCCCCGGGGTAGGGCGGGACCAAAATGGCCGACCAAATTTGTTCATAGAAATATATAGGAAAATTCTTTAAAAATCTTCTTGTCAAGAATGACAAAGCCATAATTCATCATATTTATATAGAAGCATGTTCAGGTAGTGAAGATTCAAGTTTGTTCAAATCAAGAGATTTAAAATGGCCGAGAAAGTTTTACATAGAAATATATAGGAAAATTCTTTAAACATCTTCTTCTCAAGAATGACAAAGCCATAATTTATCATATTTATATGGAAGCATGCTCAGGTAGTGTAGATTCATTTTTGTTCAAATCATGACCCCCGGGGGTAGGGCGGGGCCAAAATCACAAAGTTTTACATAGAAATATATAGGAAAAAAAAATCTTCTTCTCAAGAATGACAAAGCCATAATTCATCATATTTATATGGAAGCATGCTCAGGTAGTGTAGATTCAAAGTTTTTCTCTGACCCCCGGGGGTAGGGCGGGGCCAAAATGGCCGACCAAAGTTTTACATAGAAATATATAGGAAAATTCTTAAAACATCTTCTTCTCAAGAATGACAAAGCCATAATTCATCATATTTATATGGAAGCATGCTCAGGTAGTGTAGATTCAAGTTTGTTCTTTAAAAATTCTTCTTTGTTCTTTAAAAATCATTTTCTAAAAAATAGCAAATCCGTGATTGGTCATGGGACTACTTTTGGATTTAAACTGTAAGCTCCCTGGGAATGGCCAAGCTTAAGTCAGGGACGCTACAAAATAAATACTGGTAGTACTCCTGTACTAAAATCCTTGTTCCTCAGCTCATAGGGAAAACATAAGATTTGTCTTGGTCTCAGCAATATTTATTAATCATAAATCAGTTCTCATTTCAACAGGTACAATAATAAACTCTGGTGGCGTCTACCGTACAGGCTACTATTATAAAAAAGGGGGGGTGTACAATGGCTATAATAGGATGATCCCCACAGTTAATTACAATTAAAAATAGGTGTCTAGTGTGTTGGGAGATAATTGTCGATCATTTTCCCACCTGAAATCACAATGGTAATACTTTATAAGGCTACGGTGAAAATATGGGCGGATCTTGGATTTATCTCTTTGAAATGTACGCGCCTGACAACTCGGCAAATTATCTGTTTACATAATGAAATCGGCCCATATATATAACCTTCGGAAAAGGGTCACATGACTAGATTCAACCAATAAAAATGCTGTACGGCGACGTTCCACCAATCACGACAATGTACGACATCGTACAAAATGAAAATCGTGTCGTACTGTCGGACAAAATTGTCGTACAACCTGGATTATAAACAAACCCTGGAACTAACATGTGAAAAGACAACATAATCAATAAATATGGATAACAAGAGATGTGTCTATAATAAGTAAGTAAACAGTTTATCTCTGAAACTCGTAAATCTCACATAAATAAACTTGCTGAGTATGCAGACGATATCGCGGATGGATAAGAATATAGTGCAAGTAGTAAACACATGTAATCAGGAATAATAATGGCTAAAATGAATAGTAGAATCCACAATGATAATTAACATAATAATTAGCAAGTAATTATGCCCGTAATATAGCATGAATAACATGTTTGGTAAAATACGAAACTATGTACATAGCATGCGCCGATATAAAGATGGCAGACAGAATGTAAACAAGTAGCATGGCAGCGGATAATTCAAACTATTACAGCTAATCCAAACGTAGAACTGCAAAGATAATGACAGTTAACTCAAGAAATAGGTGCAGATTTAAGATGAAAGGTAATTAATTCATGACATGTAAAAATAAATACAAAATCTAACATTCTCGGCCAATGTTGTCACAACGTTTTTGACACGCGTGGAATATCATTACAAGTAAAGTCCACCCACCCAAAAACTATTACATAGTACAACAAGTTAAATTATAGACATCTGACAGGTCCTTACAAAACTTTACAATAAAAAGCCATTTTCTACTTTTTCCTACCCTTAGTGCTCAGGTGAGCGATGTGGCCCATGGACCTCTTGTTTGATGCATACACACATGCAGTGTCTCTTCTTCAGCTTGCTCTACCACACAATCCATGGGCAGTTTTTCATTGTTCCTATGTAATGGGTATGTTTTCTTTCTTTACAGATATTATAACTTGGATGGTACAGATTTTGACTCCATCAACAAGTTTCTGTCATCTCTTGTGGAGAAGGCTCTGTATGAGCTGGAGTGTTCCTACTGTATCGAGATAGATGATGTAAGTACTGAGATAGAGGATTTATAAGTACTGAGATATATGTAAGGACTGAGATATATGATGTAATTACTGAGATAGATGATTTATAAGTACTGAGATAGTCAATGTAAGTACTGAGATAGACAATGTAAGTACTGAGATAGATTATGTAGTTCTGAGATAGATGTAAGTACTGAGATAGATGATGTAATACTGAGATAGACTATGAAATTACTGAGATAGAAAGTAATGAGATTGTGTAAGTACTGAGATAGTGTAAGACAGATGATATAAGTACGGAGATTAGATAATGTACTTGGATAGATGACGTTAGTACTGAGATAGATGTATAAGTACTGAGATAGATGTGTAAGTATAAGTACTGAGAAAGGTAATATAAGTACTGAGATAGATGATGTAAGTACTGAGAAGATAAAATTTATGAGATAGATTATGTAAATACTAAATACTGAGAAAGATTATATAAGTACTGAGATAGATGAAAGAAGTATAGAGATAGCTGATGAAAGTACTGAGATAGATGATGTAAGTACTACATCAAGTCTACAATTTGCAATACTATTTCAATACTAAAGAACTGCCGTGAACCTACTTTAATTTTGTGTTTGTACAGGACCAGAGAGGTGTCCGACCTTTGACCCTGGGGAGGATAGCATCCTATTATTACCTGAACCACAAGACCATGAGGATGTTTAGGGATGAACTTAAGGCTGAGTGTACCATGTCAGACCTCATACAGATTCTCTCTGTTAGTAACATTAACTTAAGGCTAAGTGTACCATGTCAGACCTCATACAGATTCTCTCTGTAAGTAACATTAACTTAAGGCTGAGTGTACCATGTCAGACCTCATACAGATTCTCTCTGTAAGTAACATTAACTTAAGGCTGAGTGTACCATGTCAGATCTCATAACAGATTCTCTCTGTGAGTAACATTAACTTAAGGCAGAGTGTACCATGTCAGACCTCATACAGATTCTCTCTGTGAGTAGCATTAACTTAAGGCTAAGTGTACCATGTCAGACCTCATACAGATTCTCTCTGTGAATAGCATCAGTGTATGGATGAAACTCACGCAAGTCAAAAGAACTTGTCTATCTCTTAAAAAGTTTAAGGATAAAAGATTGTCATTTGTCAAAATTAGACATTTTCTCTATTTTTTTTATCAATAATATAAAGTAGTAAATGTTATTTGAGTTATATTGACTAAGATCAATTGACCAAGATTATATAGATGAAGGACTAGTTTGTTTCACATATAAATTTGGCTTTATAGGATGCAGAGGAGTATGCCCAGTTACCTGTCAGACACAATGAGGACCAAATTAACAGGTAAGTCATCTATCAGATATAAGTCCATTTGTAGGTTTATTTTAATGGGCATTTAATACTTCAAGAAACCTTGATCTTTTATAGTGCATCTAATTTCCATTTTGTCCAGTTGGACAGTTCTAGTTGACTGTAGCACAAGCTAGCTGTATAACTATATTTACCATGTTTTGGTCAATAACAACTGACTGTTATCTTTATTTGTAGTGAACTTGCCCAGAAGGTGCCCCTGGAGGTGAACCCCCACACTTACGACTCCTCCCACACCAAGACCCACATCCTGTTACAGTGCCACTTTGGTCAGCTGCCCCTCCCCTCCACCGACTACAATACTGACACCAAGTCAGTACTGGACCAAGCCATCAGAATTCTACAGGTAATGTCATTTATAGAGTAGTTCTTTATACAGTCAAGCACTAGTTCTTTGTACAGTTGAGCCTCATTCATTTGGATACTTGTGTTACCCAAACAAATTGTTCAGATTAAAGTTACTGAAGTGTACTTCTTCTAATTGATCAATCAAAATGTGAAAAATAAGCAATCTATAAAGTATTCAACTTGTAAAGAGAAACTTGATCAGGGGACTTTGTTTAAGGATACAGATTGGGCAATATGTAAAACTTTAAATTATTTTCAGGCCATGCTGGACGTCAGCGCAGATGAGGGATGGCTAGTGACCTCCCTTAGAATTACACAGCTCATTCAGATGGTTGTTCAAGGTCGATGGTACCATGACAGTGCCCTCTTGACCTTACCTCACATGACCCCATATCATCTCAGTTGCCTAAGGTACACAACTCTGTCATTCTTTAGGTATCATTATCTGAAGCCACATGTCCAGGCAGTGTGCAAAGCTCTTTGATTTGCCTGTTGCCTATCCATATAGAGCTAGTTTAAATTTTAGTTTATAAGCAGAGTTAATACATAATTGATACCAACAAGTGAAAAAAAAATGAGAATTCTTGCTGAAATTCTGCATTCCTTTTATTTAAAGACCCAGAGGTGGAGGAGCCAAGAAAAAAGGCTTCCCTGATATACAGGGCCCTATACAGACCCTCCCAGAATTCCTTGCTGTGTGTGATGGGAAGTTTGATGCTGTAATGGCTTTGCTCGGGGATGACATGCAGAGGAATCAGGTGGACCAGCTCTACCAGGTGATCGGGACCCTGCCTCAGATACAGGTCAACATAGAGGTCAAAGGTTGGTGGGAAGGAGGCATAGGTCAACAGGAAGCCAGGAAGGTCAACAAATCACACACAGGTAAGGGACAATAGAAGGAGAATACTAACTAGTGTTTGTTGTGTTAATTATTAAATACTGCCAAGTTTAGTGTTCTGAATGAGATTATGAGGTACTTTTATAACACAGGTGGTCGTAGACCTGACAGTGATTGGATTCCAGTACACGCAGACCAAGAGTATGTCATAGAGGTCAGCCTACAAAGAATCAACAAACTCAAGGTCAGTGTTCACTCAACTGCTACATTTATATGATTGATTTTAACCATTGTTCAACGATTGTTTTCCAGACCTGTTTACCCATATCGTCGTCTCTCAGTATTTTTGATTAGATTTCTCCGTGAGATTTGGCATTTGCCAGTAAGATTTAAATTTCCATCGATTTTACATATATATTAAAAGAGAACAACTGCTATACTGATTACAAAAACTTGGTTTAACAACATGGTCATTGTCAGTGTATAATACCACATCGTTTTGGCAACCCAACATCACTTAGGTGTTTGAAATTTTTCTCCTTTTAACTCTTTACAACTTACAGAAATGCTATGCAACATACATTGAATCCTCGCGTCATAGAAATATTACTTTACCATTTCCCCGCAAGCACTTTATAGCAGGGTACAAATTTTTCTAATGTTTGCTACATTAACACTGAAATGATATTTTAATTAGAAAATAACTTTTCTTATTTTATGACCACTGTATGCAATAAATGAAGATTAAATGAACTTTTCAAAGTTGATTATCGTGATTGCGGGGAAACGGTAAATGCGTGACGTTGGATAGGAAATGGTATATTTTTGCGGGGAAGGGTGTTAATCGACTCATATGCGTGAAACGAAGACATATCAAAACGAAAACTAACTGCTAAGTTCCAAAGGAACCAATTTCTGTATTTTCATAAAAGCAAAACGTGAGACGTATTTCCCGAAAAAATCCGTACAAAAGGATGAGGGCTCTGGCACAAGGTTTCCCAAGCCCAAGGATGAGGGCTGGTTTCTGATTGTGGGGGACATTGAGAATCGTGAAGTGATGGCCCTGAAGAGAGTGAGTTACATCAGGGGGTCATCTAAACAGTCGTTAGCCATCTACACTCCGGAGAACACAGGACGTGTGATCTACACCCTGTACTTGATGAGTGATTCCTATCTAGGGCTGGATCAGCAGTATGACATTTGTCTGGATGTTATTCCGGCCAGTATAGAGACACAAGTCAACACAGAAATAGCTAACGAACTGGAGGAACTGGATTTTGAGGAATCCTGATGACTCGGATTTCTGGATTTGTACTCCCGAGTTCTATCTGGATTTATACTTTGTGTTCTGTGATAAGCTGGAGAGAGGTCTGTTAAACTAACAGAGGGTGTGACATTCACTGTTATTTGATTTTCAATCAAAATAAAGGATCTGTTAATTTCTTTCAGAAAATTATGCTGAAAATGTTATATTTATTGAGACATTAAAATCATGAAATCATTAAAATTTTCTTTCTTTTTTATAACAAATTCCAACCTTCTAAAAAGATTGATAGAATGAAAGTATGAAAAGTTGTGGTTTTCACTGATTTTTATTATGTGTTCAGCATTTTCAATAAAATCCATTTTGATGAACATACTTCATAATAATTTTAGCTTAATACATAAAATGTTTTGACAAATATTACTTCTAAAAAATCATATGTGTATAAATCATCAGAAATGTAAATATTGTGTATAACTTTGTATGTACAATTAAATATACACAATTTATAGCAGCATTATATTATAAACAGCAAAAGAAAACAAAGTTTCTATCCTGCAACACATACTTTCAATCCTGTAAAATAAGGTAGGAAGAGGCTTTACTCTATCTTGTATTCAGCAACATGTTCTATTACCCTTAGAAATAGGTACAAATTTTAAATAATAGTAAAAAATATTTATCAGACCTAACAGATCATAAAATAGACCAAAGGCCATAACAAAAGTAGAAACCCTGTCAAAAAAAATTAACAAAATTTACAAAACATGATTGTTTAAAACATTCAACAAAATTATCACAGTCATATTTTGAGACAGCAGAATAAGAGAAAATGGACACGCATACATATATTTAATATTGCAATGACTTCATGACCAGCAATTGACTGTCTCTAATTAATTAAATCTTCTAATCCTTGTCCTGCTCATTATGACACGACAACAGAATGTGTCTTCATATCATGTGTGTGATCATCATCTGAAAAACATAAAAATTGGCTTTTAAACACTTGAAGTAAAAAGAAATCTGTGGATATAAAATATAATCCCACCTTATCATTGCTTTTAATTGCATATATAAGCAATTGTCAAATAGGAAATCCAACATTTAAGACAAATATGACTTTGCCACCAAATAAATAGTCCACCTCTATGACCTCCCAGAAAAAAAATCATTATAAATCCAAGCTTAAAATCTTGTAATTTTGAAATTGTCAAATCTTTTTTCAAAACAAATGCAATCATAAATAAATATGCCATTGCTGTGGTCTCATAAAACATTTATTCCTATCATTTTGCCTGAAATCAAGTTTTAAGTTGAACATTAAACTTCTGTATTAATGTTCATATGATCAAAATTTGAAATATCAGAGATATTTCCAAATAAGAGGGCTATCGAAGCACTATATTGTAAGTAGTAGTTTTAATACATGCACATGATCAAGATATTTGACTGTCCCTGCAGGAACAGCATTAAACTAAGCTTAGATGGGATCCTACCTGGATACATAAGGCTCCAGCCTCCTTAGTGTGGCCGTAGACTGGACGTCAGGTCCGTACGAGTGGACAGCGGTGCTCTTAGTGAAGCCGTCCAGTTTCTGTTGTTGTACAGCTCCCCTTGTGTGGCCCTCCCTGTCCTTACCCACAGGGGTGGGGTCTGGTCCAAACCTGTAAGATAGAAAAAAACCTTGTGTAATCTTATATAATATGAACTCTAAGATTGAACATGTTCCATACGATAAGTAAACAACTGTTCCAAGACACTTATATTCATTATGATGTCCTGCATTTACTCTAAGTAAAAATCCGTACAGTTATTAACTTCTGCAATTTGTTTGTTTGCTAATCAAATGATATAAGCGGTAAATAACAGACCTGGTATCGTAGTGAGTGGTGAATCTCTTGTAATCATCAGACTGGGCCACAAATCTGTCGTTATTCTCGCTATATCCAGACAATTCCTTGTTACCCACGGACGTGGTGTTGAGTCTGTCAGCCTCCGTGGGGGAAGGCCGCTGCTGTCCCTGGTACATCTTCATTGTGATGCTTACAAAAAAATAAGAGGAAATTTGATTAATGTTTTAATATAATGCAGAATAATAATGAAAAAGGTCTTGTATTGCTTATTTAAATACCATACAAGGTCCAGGTAAATACAAATGAAAATGCAGCTAATTATACATGTTATACACAATGCAAATTCTTAAAACCTTTGAAGTTCTCCAGGAACAAAGTAAAATTGTCTAATTTTTTTTCAATTCAGACCACCTTCACATAGATGATAATATAAAAGAGATTTTATTACATTTGTGGAAAATATTCTTTTTAGCTGATTTACTTGACGTTATATCATCCATATTTTGGGGAGAGGGGTGTAAGAGTTACTGCCCTTACCTGGAGTGGTTGTTAGGATTCTGCATATTGAGGTACTCTGTGGGGTCCACTTTCTGTGTTCTGTCCAGTCTCATAGGGGGGATGTTCTCAGCCCTGTCATAGGCCTAACAAAACATAAATACATGTAGTGATGTTGCAATAGTTATAGGAGTTACTCGGGACTTTAATGGACAAATGAACTTGTGCTTGGAGAGAAAACATAAAATCATTGTATTTCCTTTAAAAAATTTCACTTATAACAAGATACTGTTATCTGTGGCTGACAATATTTAAATTTAAAGGTTTTATTAAACCAACCAAGCGCAGATTTATTTATTTCTGTAACCAGAATTTACTTTTTGCAATTCCTTTTAAGGATAAATAACACAAACAAACTTCCTTCAGAAATCAGCATTATTTCTCATAGATCTACATTTTTCTGTGAAGTTATGAGAATTTTGTAAGATTTTGTTATAAAGTTAATAAATTGTACAAAATTTCGTATGGAATTATATAGAAGGCAAAATAAAATCTCAAATCTAAGCACAGGAAAATGATTTTATCTATTTGTGGATTTATTATTTATATTACAAATCAAAAAGTCAAAAAATATATATTCCTAAGTCCCCTTATGAGGAAATGAAAATAAAAAATGTCTTTCAATTTAATGGTACAAATTTTACACCAAACAATTTAGCACAGGTAGACTTACATCTGCCATGACTCTGTTGACATAGAGAGGTTTAGCTTTCTCCCGGGTAAATCCTGTACCCCTCTCGGCACCGTGAGACAACACTGGGAACGGCTCATTACCCTGGGAAGGAGAGTCACAACAAGTTATAACAATGGTTTTAAGTTCTATTGACATTTATATTTTATTGAGTTATTCAGGTATATATTTTGTACCTACCTTGGGATACTCTGAGCGTAAGAAATGAGTTTTCATTATGCTACTACCAGTGGGTCGCCCTGTGGCCCAACCCTGTAACAAACCACCAGGTAATCAGCAAAGGTTTAGTGACCTTATAGTCATAAGAGGAATTGAGACATGTGTCTAGATATCAAAGCAATGTTTAACAGTCACAGTAAAGGGGAGACAACTCAAACTAGTAACAGTTAAAGGGGCATAACTCACCGGAAGTTCGTTTTTGTGAGGTGATCCTGGGATGTATGTAATTGGTTCTACATTATAGGCGTGCGTGAATCCACTCTCCTCATGTGGGCCTACAGTCTTGTTGGTCAAATCCACTACAATACAAACACTATTAGTATGATATCATTATTAATAGCAACTAAAGCAGTCAGCTAGATGACAATTGTCAATAAATGACAATTAATTCATGAATATCAACATTTCATAAGTGATGCTATAATATATAAAGATTGATTATCGGTAATTATTATTCTACAATCATCTACAAAATATGTATTCAGTCTACACAAAAATGGGCTGATACACTGGTATTGTACATTTCTGATGACTAAAACACTACAATAACTATTGCTAAGGGTCTACATGTAGTCTACAAAGGGGTGAAGCCGTAGATGAATAGATATAGATAAATGCAGGAAGAAATAGAAGCATGCTAAATTGTAAACATTTATACTGTCAATGAATTCATATGTACATGTATTTACATGCATACAATAATTAGTATATTTTTCATAATAAATATAAGGATGAACATTTCCGAGGGCTTGTGAATCATGCATAGCCATAAAGAAATGTTACCTTCAGAAGAAATATAACAGACCCTGACATGATAATGCAGAATTTGATAATGTATATACTATATGTAACAAATAAAAATTTAAAAAATAAAGAGAGGACATTGCGACATTTGAAAAGAAACTGTCAAGCAGATGAAAAAATAAATAACCATAAACAGTGGGAAACCATTGAGATAGGGAACAACTAATGTAAGAAAGGATATAACATGTTATTAAGAGATGAAATGATGAACTTTCTCTGATGTAATATTAAAAAAAAATTTTCCTCAAAATCATGTTATAATAGACTGTCAAGTGAATTTTTGACACATTATAATTATGTACAAATTAAAACATGACTGAATATCTCAACTTAACATTATGTTTCTAGCACATATCTTTTAAAGAATCTTTAAATTCCCCAAATGTCCCCATTTTTAATTAGCTCATCATTTCAACTCAAGGATATGAAATACATCTTACCATGAATCTCTGTAAAATTCAAACATATTAAACATCAATTCCAGTTTACAGCAACATATATTGGTAGTGATCTAGATTTCAAACTGTTTGATTTAACTTGTGCACACACACATATTGTCATAGTAAACAATTCCAATCAACAGTGTTTTGTGAGCTAATTTACACTTGAGAATTAGCGACACATAAAGTCATACAATTAGTGTATTCACATTGGTTAAAACATGGCATATATACTAATATTTCATTGATATGACTTACTTCTATCTGGCTGTTCTCCCAGAAATTGATGCTTGGTTTCAGAAAGCATATACTTTGGACCCTGTAATTAAGATATTTTCAAAATATTTTACATTGTATTACTGCATGCTCTGGGATATATAACATATTGTAATTAATGGTATTTTTAATTAAACATTTTAAAATTACAGCAAATATTTTTAAAATTTTTGAAAAACTCTGGGCTCAGAGAAAGATGCATGCAATCACAATTTTTCTCCAGAATGAAGAGCATCTATTGACTAACAAAAAATGCTAAATAACTATGATACATGAATGTGGTCTTACATATCCATTATTTTCTAGTTCTACAGGGTCCTTGGGTCGGAGAGTGTGTAGGCGGGGCTTATTCTTAGGAAGGATGTCACTCGGGGCCGAAGCAGCACGGGTGTCAATAAATACACTATTAACCTAAAACAGAAAAAGCAGGAACTAAGTTTGTGTAAATGTATAATTGTGGATTTTTTTTGTGCATAAACAATAAGTAGTTAAAACAAATTTACATAAATCATGAGAGCATTATCAAATTTTACTGACAAAATTAATTTCAATTTAGACCAAATTAATCAGTTAATCAAATTTTTAAATTTAATTTGTGTGGCTTTTATATCTGTTTGTGGACATGGTGCTTACCTCTCCAACAGTTGGGTTAGTGATGGGTTTCTGTCGGACGAACCCTGACCCCTTTTGGTGGACATTTCCAGGCAGAGGTTCTGTTCCACTGTTCTCTTTATAAGGCTGGAAATGTAGCTCTGTCACACTGTGGTAATTCTTGGCACAAATTTTACTACAAATATATACAAACAGTTTTTTCTACTACTTTAAAATTATTTACTAATTACATGTAATGAAATTGTTCTACTGTTCATAGGTAAGTGTATGTGTAAATTTATGTTTTTGTTTACATATGGACTCCAATATGTACCTAAGGACAGGATTGTCCACTTCATCCAGACGCTGGTTATAATAAACAGCAGGACGGAAATTTGACAGGTATCCTGTTCCCGTGTGTCGACCTGGACGTGGCTTGAACTTATCGTAATATCGGCCATACGTGGTGGAATTTGTCGTGTTGTAAAACTTCATCATGTTGATGTCGGGACCCTGGCTGGCCATGATGTGGACATTTCTACTGCCTTGAGGGAGTGGTCCCATATTGACTGTTCTATCAAAATAAATCAATATCTTATTTCTCTGATCATTAAAGCATGTTTAATTATTTTTCAGACAAATGTACCAGTTAAGATGCATAAGCCTATACATTATGATCTGAGTGATCTAGAGTTAATCGGTAAGAAATGTTTTGACAAGGTCATAGATGTACCTGGCATTAACCAGTTATATTCAATATAAACATAGTTCCTTGAAAGCTTTTTGCATGATGTTTACAAGATCTTTTTGCAGGTGTGCAAATTAAACTCTATTGATTTAAAAACTTGCAAATAACATTTTGCTCATTTTAAAAACTTTCCAAGTATATAAAATTATTATTTTCACTTTTTTATCAGAAGTTTTAAAATTGGGGTACTTCAAAATTTAGTGAGGCCTAGACTTCGTCAAAAGTCAGGCTAATCTTTCATGGTTTACCTTACTACTGTAATACTCATGCAGAGTAACAAGGTAAATATTGGTCAGTCTTTAACAACAAGGGTGCTTATCAAGTCAGTTATCACAAATTTGTACATCCAATGTTACATAAGACACTAATTTAAAATCTCTTCAACAATCTTACCTTATTTAAAGCAAACAGAGACGAAACGAACAATATTTACCTTTCCGGTTCTTCTCAGGAGCTTTATCGTTGTCAAAGGCAACTGTGCACTAGTGTGCACAGAAATCGATGACGCGTCATCAAGAAAGATAACTCCAACAACTTGTGCAGATAGGTGGATCCAGAAACATTTGTCTCTGGTGGAAATAAACTTTTATTTTTACAAAAAAAAAAATATATTCATTGTATGACCTGATGAAAATTTTAAAATAAAATGAAAAAAAAAAATAAATAAATAAGAACAACAAAGATGTACTTATAGTAACATTCAAAAGAAGAACAGAGATGGTTTTTAATTCTCAAATAATAGCTCACTACAATTCAGTTTGCCATGAGTTTGAAGTTGAATACTATTTTCCAACAATTTCTTCCATTTCAGGATCAATTTACAAGTGAATATGAATCAAGTTAAACAAGAGATGTTTGTAAAACACTTATGCCCCCCTCTCATCAAATTGGAATTTTTACAAGTCCAAAGGGCATAACTCTGTCAAAAATTGGCACGATCATACACAAAACAGAACTTGACCAAAATATTTATCTGATACATTTGTATACCAAATTTCATTTCAGTATGTGCAACCTCTGCAAAGAAAATGAAAGGAAACTGCAAATAATTTGAAATTTTTTCAAAGTCCAAGGGGCATAACTCTGTCAAAAATGGTGCAATCGTACACAAAACAGAACTTGACCAAAATATTTATCTGATACACTTGTATACCAAATTTCATTTCAGTACGTGCAACGGGCAAAGAAAATGAACAGAAACTGCAAATAACAGGAATTTTTCTAAGTCTAAGGAACATAACTCTGTAAAAAATGGTGCGATGATACCCAAAACAGAAGTTGATCTAGATTTTCATGTCATATATCTGTATATCGAATTTCATTTCAGTATGTGCAGCTGCAAAGAAAATTATAGTACAACATGACAAAGAAGATATTTTTCAAAGGAGGGTTTCATTATATTATACAATAATAATTTAGTTTGAATCATACACTAAAACATCAATTTGTTTTAATTACACTACACAGTTGAAAGATCTTTATCTGAACTATAGCCATCAAGAACTCTTAATTAACACAAGCAACCCATTTCTACTGCCAAGAGATAAATTAAGATTAGTCTAGAGATGCTCTTGCTTTAGACTACAAAGCTTGACAATAAATCATTAATTTCTCTCTAATTTGACCTGCAAATTTCTGCTATCAAAATTCCACAGTGCTTGATAATTATCATGGGACAAACTGAATTCCTGGCAAAACATTAACATTTGTTACAGATTGCTGTAAAGTATATGAATATGAAAAAATAAGTTTTTACTTAAAAATAAGGATACCTATATTTTTACATTTTTTAGGATTATGAAATTTAAAATTTAAAAGACAGTTTTTTTTTTAATTTAATTAAATCTCTCCCTTCTTTGAAGGGGGCATAAAAAGGCTGGTAAATACATGTAAATGTTTTGACAAGCAATAAATTACAATTAAGAGAATTAGAGAAGAGAGATCTTTCCTTCTGTTATCGAATTCTCAGGAGATAAAGATAACACATGATCAGAGATGCCCAACTTCCCACACTAAGCTCATTAATTATCTTTAACTGGATACATGCATAGTTTAAGGACAAATGCTTAGATTATAATTGGATTTTTTCTAAGTCCAAGGGTAATAACTCTGTCAAAAATGGCATGATCGTACCCAAAACAAATCTTGACCTAGTTATCCATCTGATAAATCTGTATACCAAAAAATGTGCAACGGTTGTGAAGAAAATTTACGACGACGACTACGACGACAACGACGCATAAAAAAATTCAAAATATAATTTGGAATACAAAACAGGTATTAAAAACCTGTTTAAATGTTCTGTTGTGCTTCACATATTCATTCTTTTCAACTTATTCTATTAAAAAAAAAAGCACTGTACCCCCCTTTTTTGTTCTACACCTTTCATTCTGCCATAGAAATAAGTGAAGGCAGTTCATTATTTTTAAAACAAGAGGCCCAGGGGCCACATTGCTCACCTGAGCAATTGGCTAGGAAAAAGCACTTAAAAACTGAAAGTTTAAAGAGCAATAAAGATGTGAACAAATTAAAATCTACACTAGTAAAATTCCCTATAAATATCACTAAGCATGGCTTTGAAGAAGAAAAGAAGATAAAAGGTTTCCCTATATATTCCTATGTAAAATTAATTAAACAAACTTCAAATAATAGCTCACTCCTATATATTCCTATGTAAAACTTTTGCCATGAATTTGAACAAAGTTGAATCTACACTATAAAGATGATTCCACATGACATCTTTCCTGGCCATTGAAAAGAAGATTTTTAAAGATTTCTCCTTTATATTCCTATGTTAAAATTTAATCGGCCATTTTGGCCCCACCCTACCCCTGGGTGTCATGATTTGAACAAATTTGAATCTACACTACCTGAGGATGATTCCACACAAGTTTCATCTTTCCTGGCCCAGTGGTTCTTGAGAAGAAGATTTTTAAAGATTTCTCCAATATATTCCTATGTAAAAGTTTGATTGGTCATCAGGGGTCATGATATGAAAAAAAATCTTCAAAATATAATTTGAAGAAGATTTTTAAAAACTATATATTCCTATGTTAAAATTTAAAAACCTGTTGAACAAATGTTCTGTTGTGATTCCACATCTTTCCTGGCCCAGTCGTTCTTCAGAAGAAGATTTTCTTCTATATATTCCTATGTTAAAATTATTCTATTAACCCCGGGTCATGATTTGAACAAATTTGAATCTACAAAAATCTTTCCTGGCCCAGTGGTTCTTGAGAAGAAGATTTTTTAAAAATGCCATTAATTTTTCTCTAATTCATAATTATCTCCCCCCCCTTCCCTTGAATCCCCTTTGCCCAAGGATACTTTGTAGCAAGTTTGGTTGAAATTGGCCCAGTAGTTTTTGAGAAGATGATGAAAATAAGCAAATTTTACAACGACGACGACAACGACTGCAAATTTTCATCATTTCTGTGAATAAAATATATATTAAACTAAATTTTGATCAGAAAAGCTCACTTGAGCCTTCAGCTCAGGTGAGCTAAAAAGCTCACAAAACAACACTTATAAAGTATCTGATCAGATTTATTACACATAAGCCTTTAATAATAAAGTAATAATAAGGACATAGTTCATTAGGTTGTTATGTGCTTGGCATTATAAAAATGCTTTTGTAACCCATGACTGACATGTGTAAAACAAAAATATGATATCCGAAGCTGTCTGTTTATGTTGTTTCATTTTTTTCTGTATTATGTTTCGTTTTAATCATTGATTGAGCTAAAATTTGTGCACACTTTCATGTTTCAGTCTCCTTGGACCTTTTTGCACTTGACTGTCCCTCTCCTGTACTAGATTTCCGTTTCTGAGCTTTCAGTCCTTTCATTTTCCTTGTCTGTAACTTATCTAGATTCTGTTTTGTCATGTGGATTGTTCCAAGCTTAGATCCAAAAGCATCATGTGATACATTTTTCTTTTTCCTTGGCTATAATTAAAATAAAATGATCACATTTTTAATTTATTAAAAATGCAGTACTTTGTTTGAAATAAGACACATTTTCGTAGATATCATTGATGATTCAAACCATGTATTAATGAATAAGGCAATCAATGAACTACTGTAACAATTTTACTTTGGAAAATATAGAACAAGCCCAGAGATTGAAATATCGACAAATGTGTACTTTTTGCCCAAAACCATGAATTATGATCCCCAAAGAAATTACAAAGTCACAGCACTGGCAGATTTAACGTGTGAGTTGGGGGAGAGTTTAATATTAACATGTGATATACTTTGGTACATAACTAACCAATAACACTATTATTATGCCTAATTTTACTCTTTAAATTCAGGAGCTTCCTTGGGGGCAAAGACAATTAGACCACTGGGGGCCTTAAAGGTACTTGGACACAGATTTGAAGTTTTTATTTTCTCTATAATATTACGACTTATATATTTTAATAGCATTTCACACAAAAATTAATTAAAAATCGTATTTCGTTTAAAAGATATTGAAATTTCAAAGGCGGGTTTGATTGACATATCCTTGCACTCTCACAAATTTAATTTTATACTTAATCCTTAGGAAAAATGGCAATCTCGTTTTGTATAAATGAAAAATATAAATACTATAATCCAGGAAATTCAGAATAGACACGTTCGAAAGCAAAACAAACACACAATATATTGTCAGTCCGTGCAGTTGTGGTGAGTAGACTGTGACAGCAACGCACCCGGTGAATTCTAAATATATATAACATACTAGCCCTGTTTACAAAAACTGTGTACATAACACGAGTGTGCTCGATTTGCTAAACTCTTACCCATCTTTAGTTCGGTCTAATACACATTACTTGTGAAGGTGTTTTGCTTTCTAACATTTCTACTCTGAATAAAATTATTTTTTTCGATAAAAGTTTTAATATTTCTCATTAAAACACATCAAAATTGCCACTTTTCCTAAGGATTAAGAATGAAGTTAAAATTTGTGAAAGTGCAAGGATGTGTCAATCAAACCCGCCAAAAAATTTAAAGTTTTAATAACTTTTAAATGAAATAAGATTTTTAATTAATTGTTGTGTGAAATGCTAATAAAATATATAATTCGTGATATTATACAGAAAAAATGAGAAAATATTAACTTCAAATCTGTGTCCAAGTACCTTTAAGTTAGGCGGCCCTTATACCTCTGATTGAACAAAGTTACCCATCCCTCCTCAACCACAAATCCTGTATCCGCCAATATAATACGTACCTTGATGGTTTTGGGCTGTTTGAGGGCCCTCCTGTAGAGGTCCTCCGAGGCTAGCTTGGTCCTCCTCATCCTGAGGTCCAGTGAGGGTCCTATCTCCTCCAACTCAATCCGGGGTGTCTTACTGCCAGACTTCTTTAGCAACACTCTGGTAAATTAGAAGTATATATGAAATATATCCCTGCTTACACTGGCCCAGGTAAGGCGCTTGACCTTACCCAAATGACTTTAAATTGGGTCTATATACACATTCAATTTCATGAATACCCTCTTTCAAAAGTTTTGTCACCATAGCCAGTGACCTTGTCTGAATGAGACAAGGTAAGAACACACCCTCTGCATTAGCTGCAGTGTACTTAAACTTATGGAGAGTAGATAGAAAGACTCCCTACTCTTATAAACCTTCCTTCTAGATCTAACCAGTAGAACATTGAGAGTCCACATGATTCAGGGCTCTTCATACATGTACCAGGATATTCATGAGTGTCAATATACACCGGAGATTTACCTGTAGTTTCTGAGGAGGATTTGTCCCTCCACGGCCGTAATCATGATCACATGTTCCAGTCCGGCCAATCGGACCTGAGATACTACTGGGCCTCGGAAGAAATCTGCAGCAAAATATTAGAAGTTTCCTAATAAAACACTGAGGAACAGATAAAGGTGCATGTTTATTATTTTGGACCAAAAAAGAGCAAATTCTATAATGCATTGTTAAGGTAAAGTTTTACACTATAAATCATAAATACTGAAAGAAATATTTTAAACACATCCTACATGTACATTTAATTATCGAATGAAAATTGTCTATCATCAGATCCTTCACAGGTAAAGCATTATTTTTAAAATCAAATGTAATTTGATCTAAGATTGCTCACCAACGAGTAGATTTTTCAGCCTCTGGTATTCTAGATCTTTTTCAAATGTCTCCCCAGCAAACATCAAACATGGCTTTGTGCCTTCTGAACATTTGCCTCCCTGCAGTAAAGATTCAGTAATGAATATCAAGTAGACTAGAGCTAGAGCAGGAAAGCAGGTAGCCTGGTCCCCTGTCTCATCCTTGCCAAGGCAGGAGAGCCAAGTGGATTACATTCAATGCTTTTCTTTGATTGGTCTGAACAATACGCAATAAATCATGGATTTTTGAGTCGTTTCCATTAGCCACAGAAATAAATATTATCGACATAACAATGACACATTACATTGACAGAGGAGAAAAATACAACGTCACAATGAACGTCTTCACCAGAAGCGCAGCTATATTAGACATCACAATAGGATAAGATTCAGGGCAGATTCATCCTGAATCCACTGTACTCCACCTGGCCCTCATGACACGGAGTATACAAAGCATAACAGGGAAAGGGAACCAGGCTAGAAAACAGGAAACTGTGCTCGAACAGGAAACTGTGCTCGAGCAGAAAAAAATGTACCTGGTACTCAAGCAGGAAAACTTTACTCAAGCAGGAAACTGTACTTGAGCAGGAAACTGCACTTGAGCAGAAAGCTGCAGATCTATACCTTACTGATCTGATCAAATTGGGAGTGGGATGGTACACAATCATAATGTTTTTAGACCACTGAGCTACATATATGCAGAAAACATAGAAACATAACTGATATAAAGTCATCCTGTCCATTTCTTCATAAAAGAAAACATATTTTCATCCACTGTTAATGAAAAAGTAAAAATGAAATAAGTAAAACAAGAGATATTTTTTTGATTTTCGAAACAAATACCAAGACCTAGGTCCTTATAAAAACCTGCTTGATACTCCAGCAAGGATAAGTTCATTAATTTTTTGTACCTTGGTTGCATCTGCAAATTAATTGGATAAGCAATTTAATAAGATAAATAACTTACAGGAAAATCTGCCATCGAAACAAATTTCTCTACACCTAGTTCAATCATGTCCAAAATATGAAAGTCAAAGAATCGACCTAAAAATCAAAAAATACAAATAATCAGTGAAATGTACACTCTAAAAGTGCATTATACTATGATATAAAATTTTTAACTTCTGAATCTATAGTAAATAATCTTACCCATTACAAGGTTGTTTGGTCTTTTCTTATTGTGTGAACCAAACATAAAAAGAGAGGCATCTGTCTTCTTAGCAAAAAATTCCTACAACAAAAAAAGCTACATTACTTCATAGAGAAACGCTCAACCTACCCTTTCAAAGCTATATAAAGATTATGTTTTTTTCTAGCTTTAATAGGTTTTTTGTGTTGTAATGTGTTCTTTTCCTTTTTGTTCTGTTAAAAAGGGATTCAACAAAAACAAAAAAAAAACATTACAGGTTCACAAATAAAGATTGACTTTTACATACCAGAGGTGTTTCATCTTCAAATGGTCTCAAAATGTTCTTTCTGAAAAATTAAATGGAAGTAAAAATAATCAATATGGTTTACTACACTACTTCAGTAAAGAAAAGATATAAAATTTAATTGGAAGTTTTTCTCAGAAAATGCCAGGATAGCACAGGAAAAAATAATCAAAATGGTTTACTTCACTACTTTAGTAAAGAAATGAAAAACAATTGTTTTTGGAACTTGTGTCCAATCCATTTGACATGTTATCAATAAAATATTTTCAAAACAAACAAACAAAAACAATTGGCTGTTTTCTCACACATCCTTACCTTTTAAACGACACAGCATTGGGCTTCTTTAAAACATACTGAAAGAAAAAACAGATATATACACACACACTGACATTGTTGAGTAGTGAGTGAACTAACTTAGAATGGTCTATAGCTAATGGCCTAAGCACATCACTGAACTATGCAAGTCCAAAGCTTAAATTTAAAAGAAGTCTATGAGTTATACGTGAGCAAATATATGTTTTTGAATTACCAGTTCTTTAAGAACCTGCGAGATGGCATCACTTGTGTTTCCACCTTTAATAAACATGGCCTGTTTGTCATTCTCTATCAGTTTGGGTTCACGTTTTTCAAGGAAACGTTTGCCTTGTTGTGTCTTGGGCTTTCTGAAATTTAAAGATACAGTATACATGTAATTATTATGTAAACTAAAGGGAAGCAACTTCATGCTATATCTATTTAGAAAGAATTTCTGAAGGCCACCCTTAGAAAAATTTTTGGTTGCCCTCTCCCAACTCAGTTTGATAACACTGGTCAAATAAGGCAGATGAGAAATTTTTTTTCTCAGAAAATTTCAATGCTATTTATTAAAAGTTCTATTTTCCAGAGTACTAAAACATAGGTAATCAGAGATTACAGAGCTCACCTCAACGAATGTTGTCTTTAAGTAAGGCAAATTAAGTCACACAATTAACCAACAAAAAGTGTACATCCTAAAATGCAAAATTTGTGCAATTTTGATACTTTGGAATAGACCTATATAAAAACTTAAAACTAGTTCTTCATCATGAAAATGTCATTAAAATCCAGCATCTGAAGCAAGATTGAGAGTTTTCATCCCTTGATGCATCATTTGTGCAACTTTGGTTTATATAAGCCTTATAGTTTCTTGGTGATAGACCTACACCCATAACTTTTACGAGGTCTATTATCTGGAAAATGTAGGTCGAATTCAGCATCTGAAGCAAGTCCATTAGTGTGCATCCTAAGATGTATCATCCATGCAAGTTTGTTCAACATAGAGCTCAAAGTTACTTGGAAATGAAACCTGTATAAAAAACTAACTTTTTCACTAATCCGGAAAATGTAGGTCAGATTCAGCTTCTGAAGCCAGCCTAGTAGAATACACCCTTAGATGTACCATCCATGCAAGTTTGGTCATTATAGGGCTCAAAGTTACTTGGAAATGAATCCTGCACCATAAACTTTAACCTGTTTACTCGTCCAGAAAATGTAGGTCAGATTCAGCATCCGAAGCAAGTCTGGTAGTATGCATCCTAAGATGTACCATCCATGCAAGTTTAATCATTATAGGGTTCATAGTACCTTGGAAATGAAACCTGCGCCAAAAATTTTAACCTATTTACTCAACCGGAAAATGTAGGTCAGATTCAGCATCCAAAGCAAGTCTTGTAATATGCATCCTAAGATGTACCATCCATGCAAGTTTGGTCATTATATGTCTCATAGTAACTTGGAAATGAAACCTGCACCAACAACTTTAACCTGTTCACTCTACCGGAAAATGTAGGTCAGATTCAGCATCCGAAGCAAGATTGGTAGTATGCATCCTAAGATGTACCAACCATGCAAGTTTGGTCATTATACGTCTCATAGAAACTTGGAAATGAAACCTGCACCAAAAACTTTAACCTGTTCACTCAACCGGAAAATGTAGGTCAGATTCAGCATCCGAAGCAAGTCTAGTAGAATGCATCCTAAGATGTACCATCCATGCAAGTTTGGTCATTATAGGGCTCATAGTATCTTCGAAATGAAACCTGCACCAAAAACTTTAACCTGTTCACTCAACCGAAAAATGTAGGTCAGATTCAGCATCCGAAGCAAGTCTGGTAGTATGCATCCTAAGATGTACCATCCATGCAAGTTTGGTCATTATAGGGCTCATAGTATCTTCGAAATGAAACCTGCACCAAAAACTTTAACCTGTTCACTCAACCGAAAAATGTAGGTCAGATTCAGCATCCAAAGCAAGTCTGGTAGTATGCATCCTAAGATGTACCATCCATGTAAGTTTGGTCAACATAGGGCTTATAGTTACTCGGAAATGAGACCTACACCAAAAACTGCACCAAAAATGTTAACCTGCACCAAAAACATTAACCTGGTCATTCCTTTGCTGAAATTGCAGCATCTGAAACTTTGACTGGTACAATGAAACACACTAGAAACATCTTCCATGCATGTCTAATCAATATTCTCTCTTCTCGTAAACTCGAGTTATCGTTCTTAACACGAGTTATCTTTCCTAGGAGCAGGTATTGTAAAATTTCCGGTAATGAGGTAAAAGAATGTTGTAAATGACAATGTGTCTAAATGTTGTTTTTTTAATTCAGCTTTCTCTTTCGAGTGTTTGAAGGTCGTCCCTCGGAAAAATGTAATGAAATTGTGCACAATGATAAATATCAAGGTTTGACCAAACGATAAGTATCAGACATGTAGTCGAAGCGTCGCTCTTCAAAGGAAAGAAGGGGGTGGGTGGGAAAATATTAAATAGGCAAATAAAAAAGACAAGCAAATAAAATTATAATGATTTTTAAAAATAGTTTAGGGAAAACTGAACATGCTGAAAACTATTAAAAAAACGAAGAACATATTTCCCTCGGGGGGGGGGGGGGGGGGGGGTTCGAGGTGGTCCTCTAGCTGTTCTCAATCGTTTTCCGTAAAAGAAAATCCAGTACAATACCACACTGCAACAATAGCGCGGAGGGGAAGGAGGACCTGCAAACCTGCCTATGAATGAGAACTTCGATACTTAATAAGTAGCAAAATACCAGTCATTCCGGTGGTGGGGCACTATGAACTTGCATACTGATTATGTGGATATGGAAACGATAAAGATATAGCTTCTAATTGATGTGTAATAGTGTGGGTAAATTCCTTGATTTTTAAACAGTATTCCTGATTGAAGTGCACATAAAAGCATGATATGAGAATAAAGTACAGGGAATCATTTTTGTCGGATGTTAGTAATTTTCCTATCGTAATCAAACTTGAATGAGCAGGATCATAATAAGTAATTGACATGCTGGTAATTGAAAATATTTTTTACACTCCAACAAGATACGACATGACCATATTTTAGAATACTGTAAGTGTTTTATCTAATTTGCTGTAAAAATTCTTTGGTCTAGACATTTTTTTCTAAACAACGTTAACCATGGAGATTTTTGAAGTCTTTTTTCAAAAGAATTAGTCTGACCTATTTTCTCTTCAGCTATACCCAATCCCTCCTTGCTTGATCAAATAGATATATATTCTTGTATATATGCATATGTACCTCTTGAACCATAAATTGAACTGGCTCTAGCTTATGATTAACGTCCTACCTTAGTGAATTAGTTGTTACTGTGCCTATTCCATGAGGGGTGGTAGGGGTTTGGTTCCGACTTTTATTTTTATAAGAGAACTATTTGGATATATATAAACATTATAGAGGATCATCAGACTGCAACATAAAAGCGTGTGGGTGGTTTTCAATGAATATTTTCATACTAAATTAACAGTAAAACGTATTCAGAGAAAAAAAGGGGGAGGGTCGTAATTCGTGTTTTATATAATGCATCCTCAATATAAACAAAAAATTGTATTTCTAAATATTTCCATTCAAATATGGGTGTAGTAAATTTGAATATAATCGCGGCTTTTAAGATTTTCTTTTTGCAACATCGCTAGGAACTTGTATAAGCCAATTTAATTGCAGGGATGCTTGCTTTTAAAATTGACATTTCCTTCCTTTTACGTAATGAGTTTCCTATTAAGCGAAGACTAATCTTTTATGTGAAGAATATTGTGGAAATTAGATGCCTTAATTATTCAACATAATTCGCAGAGATATTCCAACACTCTCATCTCGCATTTTATTTTCAATATCATCATTTTTTTTTTTGCCAAAACTTGGCCAATATGGTATATGCATTTAGACTGTAAAATTGTGTGTTTCGGTCAAATCTTAAAATTTAATACATTGTATCAGATCAAACATTTTTCCAGAGACGAACTTCAGACTCGCTAGTTTAACTTTAATTCCTTAAAAATGAACATTTTAGACTAATTTTAGTCACCCGCAACATTTGCTCTGAAACCGGAAGTTTTGTGATACCTGCTATAAGGAATAGATAACTCGTGCTAAGAACGATAACTCAACGTTACAGGAGGAGAGAATAGGACATAGAAGTACTTAAAAAGAAAACTGCTCCAAAAAACTTAACCTTAACCCGGGACGCCGACGCCGAGGGTATCACATAAGCTCCCCCCAACTTCGTTGAGGTGAGCTAAAAATGCTTCTTGGAGTTTTGAGTTGGACCATTTATAGCCAGTCTGTCGGGAGACTGGAGAGGGCACCCAATTTTATAGAAATGGCCTATAATCGTGATTTTCTCAATGCTTCTGTTACATAATTAGGGCTGGGCAAAAATATAGATATTTCAATATATTGCGATACAATGACAAAAAATATTGTATCGCAATACGATTTTGTAATATCGATACATTGGCAATATGATTAGATTAAGGAATTTTGTCATTAAGTTTAAAAATAGACTTATGAAAGTTTGTTATTAAGCCAAAGAGTAAGACATAAGTTTTGTGGGAGCATTTCAGAGCATAACTTAGATGAAATCAACAAGATCTTTTTCACAATATCACAATACAGTTTAAAATATCGCAATATATCGCAATACGAAATCTTGGACCAATACCCAGCCCTGTACATAATAACATGTAACTGACAACCACAATGGCCTGATCAGCTGCTGACTGCAACACTGGGGACTCGTCACGATTATTCTGTCTTTCTCTTTGACTACTCCAACATTAAAAATTACACAAGTTTTGAATTTTCAGTCACAGAAGTCGGGACAGTTTTATCCATATTGGTTTCTGGTTATTGTGTACGTTGCTTTATGAATAAAACTAAGGACTCTTATGAAAATATACAATTTGTCATGATTGTGTATTTTTTGTAGGATAGGGGTGGGCAAAAAGAAGACAAATAAAAGTCGTGACGAGTCACCGTGATTCACTGATCGCAGCAAATCACACATTTGAATCAAATTTTGATTTGGCATAAAGACTGATATCACTTCATCATCATATTATCAACCATTTTAGCAGTATATTAAACACTTTACATGAAGATTTACAAAATTAACCATACACTATTCTCTGAAGTACCATCGTCAATGTTTACCACTGGCCAGCACGTTGTGGGAAATAAATATTGACATATCGAGCCCGACTCTTAAATTAATGGAACAAGAGTGGAATTTATATTTATTTTTATATCAAAAGAAGAAAGGGGTTCTATAATACTAAAAAATGAAATAATATGCAAATAACGCAGCAAAACTAAAAAAAAAAAAAAAAAAAAGAAGAATGAGCAACTTCTTAAAAAAGAAAAAAAAATCTGTCCAAATTCAAAAAATCTTTTCGCAGGAGGCACATTTTTACATATTTTTGATAATTTTCTTTTTCAAATTCTGGAATTTACCACCGCCCGACCTTTCAGCAACAGAAAGTGGGAGGGGGGCAAACGTGTGAAGTAGCAGACACATAAATTTTAACAAAATTATAAATTTATGTCTCAGGTAGTAGCAAGCATCTAATAAAAATTTACTATAGTAAATACTCAGTACTATATTTAGACAAATTTCCTCTGGTCTTTATACCTATAAATAAATGAAATTAATTAAACAATGAATTAAACAGGCAATCTTTTTAAGAAAATTAAATAAAGTTGTCTAAACAGAAAAAAAAAAATTATGGTGCATGTACCACTGTGTACCAGGAGAGGTTGGTCAGTGATGTTGAACCTTTTTTCTGGATCCACTTTTCTTCATCCAATGTAATACACTCAACTTACAAGGGATGTACGATTCATTTGGCAAGAGGCGTGTGTTGAGGGGTGGGTGGGTTATAAAATGTTACTTTTTATTCAGGTTACCTGTATACTCCCTAGCTCACTGGCTGGATTCGCTATGACAAAGGTTGAGATTTGTGTTCAACAACCAAAACAAAATCGTTGAATTTAGTAATATTTTAGATTAATTAAAATTTCCCATGTTTGACCCACAGCTACAGAATATATTATATTGTAGATATTTTAGAAAAAAAGGTGGGTTGCATGATCAGTGATAAAAATTTTATCAGATCTCTATGTATGGCACGCCAAATTCACAAAAATGAGATAAACCTAGTTTCACAATTGATAAACTAGGTTTATCGACTGTAAACTATAGTTTACAAACCGTAAACTATAGTTTACGATTCGTTAAGTATAGTTAACGATTCGTTAAGTATGGTTTTCATCTGTAAAACTATATTTAACGGTTGTTAACTATAGTTTACGAATGATAATCTAAGTTTATCTGTCTGTAATAAGCGATAACAATAGATTTTGTTGATAAACATAGATTCACGTTTGTAAACTATAGTTTACAATCGTAAACTATACTTAAGAGTTGTTAATCATAGTTTCACAAATCGTGAAACTATATTTATCAGATCGTTAACTATAGTTAACGGTTTGTAAACTATAGTTTACAAATCGTGAAACTGTATTTATCAGATAATCTATGTTTTGCAATCGCAAATGATTGTTTTCAGTGTTAAGTATAGTTTACGGTTGTGAAACATAGATTATCGCGTTAACTATGGTTTACGGATGTAAAATGTAGATTAATGTTGTTAACTATAGTTTACAGTCCGTAAACTATAGTTTACAACCGATAAACCTAGTTTATCGACTGTTTATCGACTGTGAAACTATGTTTATCTCATTTTTGTGAATTTGGCGTGCCATATCTATGGTATTCAATCCCTAATAGCAACAGATTCAATGAAATTGAATACATAAAAGATGTATAGGTGTTGAATACTCTGTATATTTAGACATAAATCCCATTTACCAGGTATTACTACTCTCATAAAGGATGGGATATGTCCTAATTTATGACCATGAATTTTGGTAAGAGTTATCTCCCCCTTATTTTTAATTAATAAAAAAATCAATTAAAACTTATACGGGCAATAAATTATTTTAAATTGTCATTCTATTTCTAATGTTTCAATGCATCTTTCCACCACAGTATTTAATGAAATTCTTACTATTTGAATTTTTATTTTCAAAAAAATGCTTTTTCCCATAGACTTCAAAGAATCTTTGTTAATTAATTAATGCTTAGTTAGTGAAATTTCTAGAACTTTCTTGCGGGCAATCCTTTACTACTTTAAAATGCTTTAGTTCAATATCAGTGTTATGTACTTGACAGCCATTTAAGGGTATAAACTTGGTCCCATTAGGGATGGAAATCCTTAAATTTAAAAAAGAAAGTGCACTGTGCGTTTGAATACTTTAAGAAATTCAATGATAAGACTTCGCCGGGTAGTTATGTTTTGGAATTTAAAATGTTCCAAAATAGATCAATACCTTAAAATTTAAACTTTAAACCGGATACCACTGACAATAGTTAGCAGGTCAGATACCGTCAGATACCGTGACGGACAAAACGAAAGAGGGTCTCTCTGTTCGGATCTGGGAAAAGTGTTGTTCGGATCCATGAATTAAGCTGAGAGTGGTTATCTAAGTGATACTATACATGGGGATTTTAGAAAAACACTTCAGTATGTCAAGAAGACATGTAAGTGAATTATTTATATAGACTTCGTATCTTAAGTTCAACCATTATAAATAAATAAAAAATAACTTCCTGGTTTTTCCAACAGTTACCTGTATTGTCTGGAACCTCCAGCATATGGTTCAATCCTTACCCATAAGACTCTAATTAGAGTCTCAAGGGCCATGTTGCTTACCCGCGTCACTTTGGCCCCGTTGATTAATTTTTTTTAAAATGTTGCTTTTAAGTTTTAGTTCTTCTGACTTCTTTATTCTTATCAAAACTGTTGGACCCAAATTGTTGTCAGGTCCTAACCATAGCTCCATAGGGACAACATTAGGAACTGTAAATGGGGCCCGATGCTAAATATGACTGTCATTTAATTCTTCCGGTGAAGAGTAAAAAACTAGTTTTTTTCCTTTTATATACTTGTAATTATGTAAAATTTGATATTTAAGTCCAGAGCGACAAAAATAGCACCCCCCTATTTTTAAAACCCTTTCTAAAGTCTCTAATTTTTCACTGAACAGGGTAGCCGTCGTTTTAAAGGACACATCGGAGATGCTAACTACACAAAACTGCAAAGAAGTGTCAAGAACATTAAAAAAAACCTTTCTGTAGACCATATTCTGGACGATTTAATCAGTAATGAAGTCTTGTCTATAGAGGATGGTATTGATATCCAAGAGAGAGGAACAAATCATTCAATGGCGGATGTGCTGATACGGAAACTGATACACGTTGGTGAGGAGGGCTTCCACATCTTTCTTGAAGTTCTTCGAGAAAATGGTTACGGACATTTGATTGAGTTTGGTATGTTCTGACATTTTTTTCTTTATATTAAGGAAAAAGATATGAAACAGATAGAGGAATGCCATGTTGTACATTTTGTATTTACTGCCACCCGGTAAATTCCAAATTTATAACATAATTGGAAACCCGCGCGGATGCAAGAATTTTTTCCAGGGGGGGGGGGGGGGAGTTCCACAACAGTAAAAAAAAATCCATTCCGGAAATTTCTTGACAATTAAGCAAAAAAAAAAAAAAAACGTAAACTTCTCTGCCAAACCTGAAAAAAATCTATATGGGGGGGGGGGGGGGTAATCGACTTATAAAACTTCATACCCAAGACATTTCAAACCAGCTTTACACAGATCCGCCCAGGAGAGGTTCTGCGTTTTCTTGGGGGAGATCCAAGGTCACTCTTACTCACTTAAGTACTTTGCAAATTTCGGGAGGGGGGTTCGGTCCCCCTCCCCTTATCCCCTTTAGATCAGCGCATGTTGCCATTTATGTAAAAACATAATAATCATGATACATGTATTTCATTGAACAGAGTCCCCTGGAACCACACAGAGATCCCCTACAGAGTCGTCAGATCCTATCACAACGCATCGCACTTTTCACCCCTCACACAGTCTAGAACACAGCCATTCTCATCATGTCCAGTTTTCCGAGCCAGTACAACAACAGTTTAACACCCCTACACAACTATCAGTATTGCCAACACAGAAACCGCAGGGCCACTCAATTCTTGTCAAGCCCTCCGACTTACCGCTAGAAAAGCGACATGACCTCCCTTTGGCCACCACTATGAATGAGGCTGACACTCCATCCTCTGGGAAGGATGAGGATGGTAAACAAGACGAAGATGGATATGATGAGGTCGAAGAGGTGCATTGTTATGTTGATTTTGGACCTAAGACAGAGAACGTAATCCTATCTGATCCCATACCATACAGAGGAAATCCAGCATTATTTGATAGCTGGTACCCGGTGAAAAACATGGATCGGCGGCTCCGAGACTACCCCGGATGTCACCCAGACGTCGATGAAAGAAATGTAGGGAAACCTATTGAAATCAAATACATTATACACATGTATCATATATATCCAAATGTTGATCTCACTGCAATATTCGTAGGCGTCAGAACCGGGAGGGGGGGGGGTTTTTATGCAAATATAATTATAGATTTGCTCTTATTTTGTTAACACCTCATCCAAAAAACTATTTATGGAGTTTCCAGAAATGAACTTTATATTCTAGTATATGTAGAATAAAAAATGTCATTTTTTCAATAATATAGGCTCAAAGCACCGTTTTATGCCGCCGTAAACGAAGCCTTTTTTTAAATACTAGCTGAAATCCCGCGCAAGCGCTGGGGAAATTCTTTTTTTTAAAACTGATAACAGAACTATACGGGGTATATAGTTTTTGTCCTGTCCATCTGACTGTCTGTCTGTCCGCAAAAATTTTAACTTTGCCCATAACTTTTGATTGGGCTATGGCTTTCATATTTTACAGGTGTATTCCTTGTTACAAGATCTTTCTTTGTGTATCAAAATTTGACCTCTGGACCTTGACCTTGGGTTTGACCCACCTTTACAAAAAAGTACCACACTTTAATCTTATCCATAGCTTTTGAACAGTTAGAGCTAGGGCGTTCATACATAACATATGTATTCATTTTGGCAAGACCTTTCAGTTGGGTATAAAAATTTTTTTACATTGACCTTAGAGTTTGGCCCAATTTTTAAAAACTGTAACATTGGCCAAATTTTTTTAACAGTTAGAACTAGGGATTTCATATTTCACAAGTCTTTTCCTTGTAACCTTACCTTCCTTAGGGGACCAACACTTTTGACTTTGGCCTTTGGAGTTTGACATGTGCATGCATTTGAGAAAATTCAACCCTCGCTATAAGCGTTTTTGTTTCACAAATACAGTGCATCTTTTCTTTTTAAATAGATAAAACGAATCATTAGAGAAAACAAAGCGAGAGATGGTGATTACGTCATTTGGTACAGCCAAAAACGGGAGCTTCTGATAGTCACCATCATGTGAGTACTAGTGACTTAAACTCATAAAGACAGTAGCGTATCAGAAACCCTGGGCTAGCGAAGATGCTCTGCATTAGATACATGTATGACGGTATAAATATTCATCATTTTAGATACAAATCTTCACCAAAAGGGAGATACCACTACAAGGTCAAGAGGCGGCGATCGGGGAATGAGGTCAAATACCGCTTCAGTTCTCAGAAGCAGACGTCATCTGTCATAGAACTCCTGGAGTATGTAAAAGCAGAGGGCCTCCCTCCCCCCGTACAGAAAAGCCACTCCAACAAAGAAATCAGCTCTAAATAAGAGTAACTAATTAATGGAAAACGAGCAGTCATGGAATAATCTTTGCAAAAATATTAACTGCAAATTAAGTTCAGTGTGTGCGCACTGTAAAATGTGTATTGTGTACGGGGGGGGGGGGAGACTATGAACGATACAGAATCCAGATTTCTCTTGATTTACAGTGCAGTATTTTTCATATTTCATATTTTTAATATTCACTGACTTTTTAAAAAGCTCAACTTTATGCACAAACGCACTGCATGTGGAGCATCCTCCAGCAGATAACATAGATAAAAAGGCAGCATTGGACATCGATCCCAACGTAAATTACATCACTTCCGTTTCGTACAGGACGTAACACTCAAACGTACACACACCCTCACTCGATTATGTTACTATATTCCCTCCAACTCCGTTGCAAGAGAATAAAAAGTCAAACCGCGTTAGACAATCCAAAGACATTTGACAAATGTTGATAAAAGACATGCAGAGATTTTTCATTCCTTCCACGATTTTCAAGCCTTCAACAATTTTCATCTTTTTTTAAAATATTTCAAAATTCACGCAACCTTAAAATAGAATTAAAAAGTTATTGCATGGCACAATGCAAAAAAAAAAAATCATTTTAAAAATTATTTATGAATGAGGACTCGACTAAGTTGTCCGAGTAAAACTGACACCCTTTAAAAGAGCTTTCTCTTAAAATTTAAGATTAGTTGTATACAAAAACGATTTATTTACAGTATATTGATACTAAATGGGATGTATTGTTTCTAAAGACTTGAATTGTTACAAATGGTACTTGGTGTGAAAATAAATGTTACTTGATTCAAAATTCTTTCTTTCTTTCGTTCATTGTTTCATTTTTTTTCTTTACTTGATAAAAATGTGTTTTCCTGATACCACAGTTGAACTACGTCACATTAGTAGAGGTCTTAAGGAGGCTGGGGGATCAACAATTTAACCACAAATTAACCACCAGATTTAACTTATTTTTTTTAGATATGGTATCTTAAGCTGTCAACATTCATTTGACAAAGAAAAAATTCATAAATTTTAGTTTTAAATTTTGATCATTTTTGTATATCTTTATGTGGAGCTCTTCTTTTAAAGGAGATCGAAATAGTCTGAAAATGGCTGCCACCCCCAGCCTCGTTAATTTTGGTAGCTGTACCTATTGTTAAGATTTTATCACCATAGCCAACAAAAAAAAAACCCACAAAATACATGTATTATTGTTTAGACTAAATTGATCTGAATTTTTTTCATTAAAACCAGACAGAGAAGAGCACCATTAAAAATGAACACCAGGGAAACACAGGGAAATACGCAAAAACACGATATTGTAGTAAGATGTACTAACTCAAGAAGTCTTAAACAAATGTATAGTTTTATTCGAATTAAACGTAAATTCTGAGATTATTCATTATGAGATGTAAAAACGAAAACGTGGTATGCAGTGAGGACAAAGTCTTGTTTCTGACAGTCTGGTCGTTTTCTCTGGGTCTGTACTCATGGTACTTGTACTGTGTACACCTCTTTATCAAGCACTACCGCTAGATATCATTTCTCTACTTTTGGTGACAACTCGTTGCACGTTAAGGAACTTATAATAGTGATACTGTACATGCTGACTGGCGTTTTCATACTACATTGTAAATGTTGCGCCATTATTTTGATATCCACCTACATGTTCTCTATGGAGCCGAATGCTGGAGAATGACAGAAGGGGGCATATGCAGAATTTCTAGTTTCCACAATGGATGCCTCAGATAGATAATGAGGATTTTCTGGCTAAATAAAATTACCAATGTGGAACCTACACGAGAAAGCAAACAGAGACAATTTGAGAACTTTATTGACAAAATTGAATGGAAATGGCAAAGTATAGGACATGTGTTAAGAAACCAAGCAGCCAAGAGCATCGCGAAAGTAGCTCTTAGCTGGACACCAGAAGGGAAGAAGAAACCTGGTAGGCCAAAGGACACCTGGTAACGGACTTTGGAAAAGGAAATGACAGACCACAAACTAACATGGGGAAAACTGGAGAGAAAATGCTCAAGACAGAGAGCAGTGGAGAAATCTAGCCCTTGCCCTATGTGCCCGCTGGCATAACAAGGACTAGGTAGGTAGGTAGGTATGTGAATTGACGACCAATTTATCAGTTATCTCCCGATCATGACAAGGAGCACACAGCGGGTGTGACCGGTCAGCAGGGGATACTCACTCCTCCATGACACCTGATCCCATCTATGATGATTTAAAGGTCCGTGTTTCCTCTGCTCCTGATTTGTATTTTTTAAAAGACTTGAGCTTGAATACTGTTCATTATATCCATATAATTTTCTAACATACATCATACATGATATAAATTGTAGTCATAAATGTTTAAAATTAGAGATACGGTATTTCATACACCATATTCGGGTCTCTGATTAGCTGAAAATAACACCCAAGAACTTAAAAAGTTATATGAAATATATTGATTTATCTTTTTACTCTTCTTTGGGTAGTAAAGAAAAGGAACTTCAAAACTGATGCATGAAATCATACGAGTACATGTTTGTTTAGCGTTCAATGCAATCCGTGCCCATCTCTGTTTAGTAACAACATACTAAATGCCTTATTACAAAAATTAATTCCTTTCTTAGTTAGAGGTAATATATCTTATGTATCTTATCACACAGAATAGCAAAGGTAATAGGTCTGACGTGAAAGATTTTGTAACATTTAAACTATATGAAAATCTACTCTAAATCAGTGCAATTTATGCTTGACGAAGAATGAATAGTTGTTACACAGAACAATTGAGTATTGAATTACTAGCCTTTACTCATCAAGCATTTGTATGTTGTCTTTTGTAAAGTAATGAGGAAATATTCTTTATGCCGTAATATGAAGTAGTTCGTTCTTTGTGCAAGGAAAACTTTATCGGGGTGCAAAGTACAGGTATAGCCAGGACGTTATCAAAAACGTTTTTTTTTTCTTGTTAAAAGTAAACTGTAAGCATAATTAATATACCTGTATTTTAGATGACACTGAATGAATATTTTCTTTTCAAACAAGAAAACTCCTAGGCTCCCAGGTCATATTTTTTTCAGAGAACATTTTATGGTTGCTTGAATCTGTCATTAACACAGAGATCTGCTCTTGGTGTATAAAAAAGTAAAAAAAAAAAATACTGGTACATGCTAACTTTCAATATAACACTGAAATGTGAATAGGATCCTTAAAGATTTCAAACATCATGTCTCTGGAAAATAATTACATTTGAATGAGAATATGGAGATAACGAAGTCCATAAAACAATACAAAATAGGAGCAGAGCAAACATGGACCTCCGAAACATCAGAAGTGGGATCAGGTGTCATGGAGGAGTGAACATCCTCTGCTGACCGGTCACACCCGCCGTGTGCTCATTGTCATGATCATGATGTAACGGAAAATCCGTCTCAATTCAGTGTATAAATAATGGATTAACAATTGGTGTGAAAAACGTCTGTCAGCATTTGACTCAATGATAAATTGTATTTGCTGACAAGGTCATTGTATCGACCATAGAACTTACGAAATGATGACTTTAAACGAGACTGCTGATATTCTTGTTTCATCAACTTGCTTGTCAATAATTTACCTCGCTTTAGAAATTGTTCGCACGTAGAGCACACTCTTGCGTATCGAATCAACTGAGATATATATACTCCGTATACATGTGATGAAGGTATATTGCTGCATAAGTAAGGAAAGTTGGCGATAGAAAGTCAAAGTCGTCACGTTTATCACATACTAGTAACTTGGTTGTTAAGTTACCATAAACGTCTTTTTCAAGTAAAATATCCAAGTATGAAACAGATTTGTCAGAGTCTGTGGTATCTTTTATCTCTAGCTCTCCGGGATATATCATATCGACTAGGAATGGAAAATACCATTGTTATAATTGACAATACGTCGTCGATATATCTGATAATCTTGTGATTTCAAATTGTCCAAAAGTTCTTTGGAATTTTTTAGTATCCACATCTGATTCACACCACTCCTTGAATATATAGTTGCACAGTACTCTTGAAGTTTTTCTTTCACTACTATCAATATCTTAGTGAGGAGTAACGAAAGAGGCTTGGTTGAACATTTACTGGAACCCGCAATGTATCTTTGTTTGTAAGGATTTTTATGAAGTTTCGGAATCCAGTATATATAAGGTAGTTCAAATTCATTTTGGCTCTGTGGAATACTAAAAATATTCAAAACTGACATATGATTTTGAAGAATTTCTTTCTTAGAAAGGGAAGTATGAGCATAAGTAGGACTACCAGTTGTAGAATTAAATCCAAGTTCTTCTAGAATACAATTTATATAATGAGCCTTACAAACGAAGACAATGTTGTTACCTGCTTTGTCGGCAGGGACCAGTACGTAATGATCATGTAATCTATCTAATTCTTTTTTCACTTCTAGTTTATTGAACACAGAAGGATAGATGGTTTTCATATTGCCCCGTAATCTTTTAATACGTGACTTTGACATGGATCTGATACATTTAATCCATTCTGACAAGGTGTCAACGTCTTCTTTTTCATATCTGGCCCATCGTCTTGCGTAATTTTCAACAGAATCTATAAAATTAATAAAAATCTGACGCCAGTTGAAGGATCGGGGTTCCCTATAATTAGGTTCTTTTTAAATAAGTGATCTAAGGTCCTCATTATTAACTATATTTATGTCACCAGTAATAACATGTCCAGCAGGACTATACTTGAAGAAGAAGAACATGAACACGATGGAGGATTATGTTTCAGATGCTCTGTATTCAGGCCATGTAAAGTTTTTTTGTAATTGAAAAGTTTAGAAGCAATGGTCGATGTGTATTTGTAGGAAATACAAGGTGTAGTCTTTAACTTGAAATATGGTGGAATACAAGCCTGGACCCTTTTGTGATTAAGAATATTATTTATATTAACCGCGTCAATTCCTTTACTGGCATGTTGAAGTTTAAGGAAAAGACGGATTGTTTTAGCTGCTTTCTCTTCCGTAAAACGTGCAGGTTTAAAAAGCCATCCATAATCACAGA